CCCTGGTCCTCCGCAAAAGCAAGACGTGCTTTAAACTGCGGAGCCATCTCTCTTCTATTCTTCTATTGTGACTGATTTCGTAAGTCAGCTTTGTCATGGACACTGGGTCCAGAAACAAATATAGTTATGGCTAAGATTCAGTACTATCCAAGAAGTCTTGGAATGAATCCCTGAAGATGGGGAGGAAGCTGCGGCACCGCTGTTGTAAGGTGGGGTGGGGGCTGTGGTACAGCTGTTGTGAGGTGGGGTGGGGGCTGCGACACAGCTGTTCATATTGCTGCTGTAACGTATCTAGAGATTCTAGAGATCCCTGTTCTGTGCATTCACAGCTATACAGAGGTAAGAGCCACTGTACCTGCAGAGGTTTGTATGCAGCTGAGCACCTGAGATGACTTTGCACCTGGTATGATGAAACAGCCTGTGGTGGCCTGAATGAGAATGGCCTCTATAGGCTCACATATTTCGATGGATTAGGAGGTGTGGCCTTGCTGGTGAAAACAGTCACTGAGGATAGGCTTTGGGGTTTCAAAATCCCATACCAGGTTCCCTCTTTAACTGAGAGTGAATCAGGATGTAGTTTTTTTTTTTAAATTGGATATTTTATTTACATTTCAGATGTTATCCCCTTTCCCCATTTCCTCCCACCCAGAAACCCCTTATCCCATCCCCCCTCCTCCTCCTTCTATGAGGATGTTCCCCCATCCACCTGCCCACTCCCACCTCCCCACCCACGAAATCCCCCACACTGGGGCATCCAGCCTTCATGGGACCACGGACTTCCTCTTCCACCTATGCCTGACAATGTCATCCTCTCCTATATATACAGCTGGAGCCATGGGTCCCTCCCTATGTGCTCCCAGGCAGGTGGTTTAGACCCTGGGAGCTCTGGTTGGTTGGTATTGTCGCTCTCTCCATGGGGCTGCAAACCCTTTCAGCTCCTTCAGTCTTCTCTCTCACTCCTCCATTGGGAACCCCATGATCAGCTCAATGGTTAGCTGTGAGCATGATGTAGTTCTTAACTTCTCTGGCACCATGCCCATCGTGTTCCCCACCATGATGACAACAGACTCAATCTCTGAACTGTAAGTCAGCCCCAATTGGATGCTTTCCTTTATAAGAGTTGCCGTGGTCATGGTGTCTCTTCACAGCAATGGAACAGTAAAGACAACAATGACCATAAGCAGCTTAAGGAGGAGAGTTCCTTTGGCTTATGGTTTCAGAGGGCTGGAGTCTATAATAGTGAAGGCATAACATGCTGGCAGGAGCTGGTCACACTGTTATCAACACAAGGTGAGGGGAATAAGACTATAACCCATCAAGGCCACCTCCAGAGATGGAGGTGCACTTCCCCCAGCAAGAGTGTAACTCCTAAAGGTTCCATATAACCTCCCCACACAGGAACTCCACCTGGGGACCAAGTGTTCAAATACATGAGCCTCCCAGGCATTCCACATTTAAACAGCACACTTGGAATCTCACTTCTAGGGCAGAAGAAAATCTCTAAACTCGTCTTCCTTTATGTGATATCAAACATAATCCACTTGAAAACTTAATTAATTTATTTATTTATAGACAAGGCTTCTTATATCCTGAGCTGGTTTTAACTTGCTACGTAAAGATGACCTTAAATTCCTGAACTCCTAGCCCAGTGGTTCTCAACCTGTGGATCTCGATCCCTTTGGGGGCCCGAATGGCCATTTCACAGGGGTTGGATATCAGACCCCTGCATATCAGACATTTATATTATGACTCATAACAGTAGCAATAATTTTATGGTTGGGGATCACTACAACATGAAGGACTGTATTAAAGGTCGCAGCATTAGGAAGGTTGAGAACCACTGCTTTAGCCTCTACCTCAAGCATGGGATCAGAGGCCTGTGCCACTGTGCCCAGCTTATGTAGGGGATTAAACTCAGGGCTTCATGTATGCTAGACAAGTACTCTACCAACAAATTGACATCTCCAACTCCAAATATGCTTTTAAGAAAAGTAACTAAAAGAACATTGTTTAGTCTAGGTATCATGTTGGTACATATGTTTCTTCTTTGCTCAGTAAATTGCATTTCTTTCTTCCTTCCTCCCTTTCTTTCTTCCTTCCTTCTTTTGTTCTTTCTTTCTCTCTTTTTCTTTTTTTGTTTTTTTCCAGACAGAGTTTCTCTGTGTAACAGCTCTGGCTGTCCTGGACTTTACTTAGTAGACCATGTTGACCTGAAAAAAAAAAATATCAGAGATCTGCCTACCTCTGTCTCCTGAGTGCTGGAATTAAAGGTATGCACTACCATGCTTGGCTCAACTCAACAATTTCTTAGTACTGGGAATTAGTAAACATCTTATTCAGACAATTCAAGTGAACTGTTAAGCCTGCACTTTCCCTGTAGAGAACATGGTAAAAAACATCTGTGCACATATGTTTAATGAGTAGTCATGCATGTTTAATGGGTAGCCAGCCCTCCTTTCTGGTTTCACTGTTTTCCATTGAGTATTGGTTACAGGTCAGGGTTATCACCAGCCATATGAGTCCATTGCTTTGTGAACACAAATTCATACTTTGTATATAGTTATCTTGGACGGTAGAACAGGCGTTAATAAACAGTCAGAAAGTTAGACCATGATATCTCACTCTCCAGAGGAAGGAGTGCTTGAGTGTATTTATTATACCCTCTGAATGTATCTACGTTCATGCACACTCATGAGTACATGCATGCACATGTGTGTGCACAGACACAGAGATCACACAGTTGGATGATGGGAACTTCTCAAGGGAGAGGATATAAGACACATTCCTTAATTATGCTACAATGCTGGTCTAAGATGTTCTCTTGAGATAAGAAGGGCAAATTCTATAATCCCGTTGATATCCAGTAAGGGGCCAAAGGACTAGAATGTTGCTAAAGCAACGAGATCCTTGACTTTTAACAATTGCCTTTTGTAGTAGAAACAGAGTCATAGCTGCCACGCAAACCACTGGTGACCATGAAGTCATCATTCAGTGAGAGTAGTCTAATCTGGGTCCAACCAATAATGAAGAAATGCTGCCCCCCATGACCTATGAATACAGACATTGGTTTTCTATGTATAAAGCAAGAGGAACACTGAAGAATTACAAGAGGTCTAACATACATGTCATGATTTTATAAGGTTCTGGCTGAGCTTTGTCCAAAAACATGAGTCACCCCATACTCATCCCCATCCCTAAAGCAGGTTCCAAGGCTAGAACTAATTATACTTAATGTAAGGATAGGGTATAGGTTCTGTAGGTAAAAGCAAAATGAGTAAAATTCACTCAATGATCCTCTAGAAGCACATGAATATGTAGGCCACACCCAGCCTACCCAAGTTGCTCAAACACCAGCAATTACCAGTGTACCTTAAATGTGGTGTCTTTAGGTGATGGTGTTACTGGAAATCAACCTTAGAATACCCTAGAGAAGGCCTTTTTCCACACAAACAGGTATGGGGGTGGGGACAGGGATGCTGAGGTCTTGGGGCCTGAGGAGATGGCTCATCAGTGACGTTCTTAACGTAAGCATGAGAACTTAAGCTAGAGACAGTGCAGTGGTTTGAAGGGGGTGTCTGTCATAGTCTTGGGGATTTGAATACCTGGTAGTAGGTACTGTTTGGGTAAGTTTAGGAGGTGTTGCCTTGCTGGAGGAAGTACATTACTGTGGGTGGACCTCATTCTGTTTCCTGCTTGCAGTTCCAGTATGAACCCTCAGCTGCTGTTCCAGCTGCTATGCCTGCCCCCTGCTGCTTCTGCTCCACCAGAACAGACTCTTACCCCAAATGAACTCTTTCTTCTGTAAGTTGCCTTTGTCACAGTGTTTAAAATGTAATTAAATCAGGTAGACAGATCCCAGGAGCTCACTGGCCAGCTAGTCTGACCTCCTTGGCAAGTCTCAAAAATTAAAAGGTGGATAGCAAGCGAGGAAACACTATCCGAGGCTGGCTTCTTGATCTCCACACACACCTGCATGCAGACACACACACACACACACACAGACACACACGTGCACACACATGCACACGTTCATGCCCAGCGCTGATTAATGTTCTGGAAGATGTTTTCATACTGTCTCCTATCAGCTTGTGGTCTCTGAGAAGCCTTTTTATTTATTTACGATGTTTGCTTACTGTTTATGAGGAAGAAAAATGGGAGGGGAGCAGACACAATACGGATGCAGACAGGACACTGAAGAGGATGGTGGCAGCAGGACCAGGCCTGAAAGTTGATGAGACAAGTGTCAGTATGGACTGGGGACAGGATTCCCTGGGGTTGCAGGGCAGTGGAGTGACCCGAGGGAGGCACTGGAGGACATGGGCAGGGAGGGCTTACAGAACAAAGGCAGGGCTGATGGGTGGGTCACAGCTGCATACACCTTCTGACACCAGCAACCGGGACACCAAAGAGACAAGCTAGAGCGTGGCCGAGAGGCAACTGGTAAGTACTGAGGTGGTTTGAAGGGGAATGGTTCCTACGGGGCTCCTATTTGGATGCTTGGTCCCCCGCTGGTGGAATGGTTTGGGAAGGATTAGGAGCTGTGGCCTTGGTGGAGGGGTGTTGCTTGGGGTAAGCTTTGAGGTTTCAAAGGCCCCCATTCTCAGTTAGTTCTTTCTGCCTTGTGCCTGTGAGGCATGAGCTCTCATTGACTGCCCTGGCCTCCTGCTGCCACGAACCTGTGATGGTCACAGACTCACCCTCTGGAAACCGAGCCCCAGATTAAACGCTTTCTTTTAGTAAGCTGCCTTGCTCATGAAATTTTGTCAGTGTTAAAAGATAAGGCACCCATCACCTCACAGGGAGGGGGGGCTTGACTTAGATCACACGGCAAGAAGTGAGGCACCCTAACTGTCCCTCACTATGCAGTATCCAGGGTGAGGTTTCTGCTTAGCAGAGAATGAAGAGATTTTCCTAAAGTGAACGAACAAAGGAACAAACACGCAAAGTCACTAAATGACAGGGGCTCCTCAAAAGCATTTATTATTTTTTTCTTTTCTCTTCCTCCTCCTCCTCCTCCTCCTCCTTGCTTGGTATGCACTTCAGGGCATTTCAAATTTGTTTCTTAAGTTATAACAATGGGGGAGATTTCACTCCAGTGTTTCAGAAATGTGATCATCCCGGAGAGGGCTTGTTCCCCATGGCTCTGTATAACGAAGGCTTTGTCCTAACTTTGATGAACCATCTCAGACAAAGAGCAGAGAGCCTTAAATAATACTTCAGTGCTTTGGAAGGACAAAACGAATGAAAACACACACACACACACACACACATACACACAGACTTCTCCAGAAGTTTAAAAATGCCCTGACAGTGTAGGAAGTGTGGCATCTTCCATCCTGGGGCAACATCACGGTACTCAGTTGACAGTGGCTCACCAACCAGCAGCCCCTGGGACAGCTGCCCTGCTTGAGTCCTGTGAGTCTTCTGGCAGACGGACTAGCAGGAAGGGGGTATGAACTTGTTCAGCAGGCCAGGCTCCCAGCCTCCTGCAGCTGCCAGAGAAAGCCCTTCATCCAGGAGGCAGCAAGTTTCTCTGCCATCAGTTCTAGCAAAGAGAGCAGCAGACCCCAGAATCAGGCATTGGGGGCCATCATCAAAGGGGCAGAAGCCCCTCTCCTCCCACCTCAACACCTGGGCAGAGTCCATGTGCACAATTTTGCAAATTAAATTACTTCCTTAAAATACAATAAACCATACAATTCTCTTTGAAAAGTCTTTCCAATCCCATTCTTAAAAAATTAACTTATAAAATTGTGCAAAACCCAACACTGACTTCAAATAAATAGGACAAAGCGGTGCGAAGAGCTGAACTTTTGTTGTTGCTGTTGTTCTTTCTTTTTTTAAAATTGAGTTAAAAAAAAAAAAAACACTAGCTGCATGTCAAAACAGCTGCGGGGTTAACTCCTTGGAGGCTGCTCACCACAGCTCACAGCTGCATTTCCAAGTGAGGTTTGCTGTGCTCACAGTTCTCAGTGGATGCCGCCACTGAGGTCCTCCACCACGCCCTCCTGGATGAGCTTCAGGAGGAATTTGGTCTCTGTGGTCACATTGTGCATAGCTTGCCAGTTCATGGCGCCCATGCACTGACTGCCAAAGTAGTGCAGAGGGGTCCTGGGTTGACTGAGGTCGTACCCAAAGCCTGCCAGGCTGACTTCATCACACAGATGCGTAGCTAAGACAATGGCAATGACACCGATCGTGGGGATATTCTGGAAAGAACACACACCAATTTATTCATTTAAAAAATAATACTTCAATTACCTTTTTAACTCACTTAATTTTTTAGATCATACTTATTACATTTATCATTTTTAAAAATTATTTTTGTTTTTTAAAGACAGGGTGTCTTTGGCCGGGCAGTGGTGGTGCACGCCTTTAATCCCAGCACTTGGGAGGCAGAGGCAGGAGGATTTCTGAGTTCGAGGCCAGCCTGGTCTACAGAGTGAGTTCCAGGACAGCCAGGGCTACACAGAGACACCCTGTCTCAAAAAAAACAAAAAAACAAAACACCAAACAAAAACAAAACAAAACAAAAGAGACAGGATGTCTCTATGTAGTCCTGGCTGTCCTAGAACTCACTCTGTAGACCAGACTGGCCTCGAACTCACAGAGGTCCATCTGCTTCTGTATCCTAAGTGCTGGAATTAAAGGTATGCACCATTGCCAGGTGTCTCTTTTTATATTCTTAAGGGGTGTGTGTGTGTGTGTGTGTGTGTGTGTGTTTGTGTGTGTGTGTGTATGTATGTACGTATGTATGCACTTGGACGCATATGTCACTGTGTATTCCTGGAGGTCAGAGGACAACTTTCAAGAGCCTTTCCTCTCCTTTCACCATGTAGGTCTGAGACTGAACTTGTAAATTTTGTTGTTTTTTTGTTTATTTTTAAGATAAAGGTCTTGTCATTTACCCCAAGCTGGCTTCTACCGCATGATCTCCTGCTTCAGCCTCTGGAGTGCTAGATTACCGGTGCATGTCGCTCTGTCTGGCTACATTTATTCCTTTCACAATAGAGTCAACTAACTTTAGCCCAGCAGGTCCAAGGTTCATCCTATTTTAACTTCTCACTCCTGGCACACCCTCTGCCTGCATGGCACCATGGCATACCCTCTGTCTGCATGGCATCCTGACATGCCCTCTGTCTGCATGGCATCATGGCACACCCTCTGTCTGCATGGCACCATGGCATGCCCTCTGTCTGCATGGCTTCATGGCACACCCTCTGTCTGCATGGCTTCATGCTATGCCTCCTGGGATGTGTAACCTTGGCACAAAGCTTTCTGGATCTTCAGTCAAGATTTTGGTAAAAACAGTACCATAAGACAAGTCCAGAGAGCCTGCGGCTGACAGCTCTCCCTGAGGGTTGTCACTGGTCCAGTTGCAGGCTATATTCTGTATCTAAAATGCATGGTCCCAGAAATGTTTCCTGTATTTCTGGAGTGCTTGTGCATACAGAGAGGACATCTTGGGACTAGGGCCCCCCACACACTGATACTCTCTTGCGTTTCACATATGCCTTATACATATATATTTTATAAGGTATGTTTAATGTATCTACATTTTGATTATGACCTATCACATGAGACTAGGTATGGATTTTCCACTTGGGATATATTGTGTTAGCTGTCAAAGTTTTTGATTTTCAGATTTAGGATGTTCAACCTGAATTTGTTTTTGGATAACTTTTAACGTGCTCATGTTTCTTTTATTTTAGTGAAGACTGTGCCTTCCATAAATATTCCTTTTCGGTAAGCTAGAACAAGAGTTGTGCAGGGCTCTAGACTCTGATGGGGTCAGGGACACTTCTAGGAGCTCTGCTTCATTCTAAATTGCCTCCTGATCCATGGGCATCCACGTCTCAAAGTCAGCCTCACTGGTTAAAAAGGGTTGTACAGGGCTGGTGTACAGGGCTGGAGAGATAGCTCAGTGGTTAAGAGCACTGACTGCTCTTCCAGAGGTCCTGAGTTCAATTCCCAGCAACCACATGGTGGCTCACACCCATCTGTAATGGGCATCTGATGCCACCTTCTGGTGTATCTGAAGACAGTGACAGTATACCCACATACATGAAATAAATAAATAAAATAAATAAATAAATCTTAAAAAAAGGAAAGGGTTGTCATAGCCAGTCTGCACGCCTGCTCACAGACAGAGATGAACGCCTCTCTGTGCTGTGGCTGTGTATCCTCCCGTCCTGTATCCTCCAACATGTAGCCTGGAATTCAAGTGATAGGCACTCAGCACACAGAGGATCCACAACCAATGCCTGTGCAACTGTGTGTGAAATCAGCTTTTCATGGAAGCAATGCATGAAGATGGGGCTACCAAGATGGCTTAGCAGGTAAAGGGGCCTGCTGCCAAGCCTGACGAGCTGAGTTCACATCCCTAAAGGTGGAAGGAGAGGATTGACTCCTACAAGTTGTCCTCTGACTTATGCACACACACAGGTACACAAAACAAATAAATAAATGTAACTTTTAAAAAAGGACTAGAACCTTCCAAAACTGTGTCATCTGTATCAAAAATCCCTGAGACCACACCTCCTCACAGCCCACAAAACTTCACCTGATGGAAGGGCATATATACACGAGGAAGTCTCTGATGTGAGGTCTTTCAGAGCAGACCTAGGCCATGAAGCAGAGGATAAACTTAAACTTTTGATCCTCCTACCTCTCCCTCCTGGGTGCTAGGAGTGTAGACATGCCTGGTTTGTGTGGTTCTGGAGATCGAACCCAGGAATTGGCTAATGTGGGTAAGCACTCTGTCAATTGAGCTATATCCTTAGTACCTTAAAACAATTATTACCTGATATATATCTAGGCTATGTTTTATTCAGCATTTTGCTACTAATGTCATGGTGAATATAACTTCCTGATAGTGGAGATTCCTTTAATTTTTTTTTTTTATAATCAAGGTTTCAGAGTAACACTGCTGGGTAAAAAAAAAATCTATTCTTTTTGAGGCAAGGTTTCATCATGTAGCTGAGTCTGAACCTGCCCTAACTTCCTGAGTTCTGGGCTGATGGGGACACCATACACTCAGCCAAGGTAATTCTAATTTTACAATTTTAAAAGATTTTATCTTTATTACTTTGTGCACGCGCATGTGAATGTATACTCTCCCCGCCTCTCGTGTGTGTGTGTGTGTGTGTGTGTGTGTGTGTGTGTACCCAAGGAGGGTATCAGGTGCCCTGGAACTGGAGTTACAGACAGTTGGGAGCCACCTGATGTGGGTGCTGGGAACTGGACTAAGGTTCTCTGAAAGAACGACATGCGTTTGTAATTGCTGAGCCATCTCTCCATCCGGACCACCGTTACGTTAAGTTAATGTAGACTACTAATACAGGAAAGGGGCCACTTTATTCTACCTACATTGCTACCAGACAAAGATCTCTAAATTTTGCTATAAGGTGAACAAAAAACCAATCAAGTGTGGTGGTGTCTACTGGTGATCTCAGTACCTGGAGGCAAAGGCAGGAGAATGAAGAGAATTTTAAGGCCAGCCTGGTCTACATAGGGAACTCTCAGCCAGCCAGTGTCACTTAGTGAGATCATATTTCAAAAACAAAACAAAACACAACACAACAAAGAAAGTGAGGTTTAAAATAAAAAAAGCCACTGTGGCTCTAACTGCCTTTTATTTAATTACTGGGGATTAAATATCTTATCATATATTTTTTATTTTATTTTCTTCTTTTGTCAAATGTTCTTAATTTTTGTCTCTATTAATTTTTTTTATTATCTGTATGAGAGTTTTGACTTCATGTATGCAAGAATGCACGTACCATATGCATACCCTCAGAATCCAGAAGAGGGCACTAGATCCCCTGAAAATGGAGTTACAGACATTATGAACTGCTATGTGGGGGCTGGGAACAGAGCTCAAGTCCTCTGGAAGTATAGCCAGCGCTTTAAGGTGTCAGCAGCCAGCACTCTGACCTGTCAGAAGTCAGTGCTCTTAACTGTAAGTAAGCACTGAGCCATGTCTCCGGATCCACTTTTTTATTTATTTATTTATTTATTTATTTATTTATTTATTTATTTTTGTTCTTTTGTTTTAGCTCTAGGAAGAATTCTTTGTATTTTGAGCATCGTTACTTGGTCATATATGTGCTAAATCGTTTTTAAGAAAGATTTCCTAGCTGGGTGTAGTGACATGTGCCTTTAGTCACAGCATTCCAGAGGCAGAGGCAGAGG